GCGCCTGTAGTCCCAGCTACTCGGGAGGCTGAGGCAGGAGAATCGCTTGAACCCGGGAGGCAGAGCTTGCAGTGAGCTGAAATCTGGCCACTGCACTCCAGCCTGGGCGATAGAGCGAGACTCCATCTCAAAAAAAAAAAAAAAAACAAACCAGCAACTTGTGTTAACATGTTAAACTCATTTAATCTTTACAGTGATGTATGAGGTGCATACTGTTATTACCCCTAACTTGATGATAGGGACAGAGAGGCTAAGTAGTATGCCTGAGATCACACAGCTACTGCAGGATGCTCTCAGGATTTGCATCCACCTGGTCCATCTGGCTCCAGCATCTATATGCTTTTTTTTGTTGGTTTGTTTTGAGACAGAATTTTGCTCTTGTTGCCCAGGCTGGAGTGCAGTGGCACAATTTCAGCTCACCACATCCTCCGCCTCCCAGGTTCAAGCGATTCTCCTGCCTCAGCCTCCTGAGTAGCTGGGATTACAGGCACCCACCACCATGCCGGGCTAATTTTGTATTTTTGGTAGAGACAGGGTTTCTCCATGTTGGTCAGGCTGGTCTCGAACTCACCACCTCAGGTGATCCGCCTGCCTTGGCCTCCCAAAGTGCTGGGATTACAGGCGTGAGCCACCGTGCCTGGCCAGCATCTATATACTAAACCCTACCCGCAACTGCCTCTGTCTTGGGGTCAGGGTTCTTGAACGGTCTGGGCCAGCCTGAGTTAGGAGTGGGAAGAGGAAGAGGAGGCACGCGCCCAAGTGTTCTTCCCGCCTGACCGAGTCCTCCAGCGCCTGTGAGGAAGGTGGGCACTGCTGTCACCCTGTTTCCCGGGAAGCCCGCAGGCCCAGGGAGATACTGGGATTTGCCAAAGGCTCACAGCGAGCAAGCAGCAGTGGGTGCTGGCCCCTCGACACCCAGCCTGGCACACACTGTCTCTGAGTAGACCTGGGAGAGGGCATGTGAAACCCACCTGGCCATGGCTGGAAGAGAAGTGGGGGAGTGGAAATGAAAAGTGGAGACCGGGAGGAGCTGCCTACGTGCCCCTCCACAGTTCCAGGATGGCGCTTTCATGCTGGGAGTGAGCTTGCCCTGTGCCAGGCTGTCATCGAGGCGTTTTCCATTCAACAACTGTTTCTCAGACAAAGTGCAGGCAGGTTAGCTCTCCCAGGCCACTCAAGTAGTAAGGAAATAGATTTAAACCCTGACAGTTTGGCTCTGCAGCTGAGGCCCAGAGAGGGGTAGTGACAAGCCCAGGGTCACACAGCCACAGTCCCAGAGCTAGGAACTGCTGGCTAGGGCAAGCAGAGAGCTGACTCCTAGTCAACTGGGGGTGGAGCAGAGGTGGAGCCAGGGAGACCCAGGTGGCCTCCCTGAGAGCGGAGCACAGGCGGCAGAGTGGCCCGGGGCAGCATGAAGTGGAGCTGGGGCCCAGTGCTGCTCTTCGCGGGTGCCACGGTCCTCATGGAGGGTAAGCCGCCGTGCGTGGGGCTATGGGGGTGGCCTGGTGGGGGCTCAGGGGCCATCTCTGCCCCAGCAGTCCCTGCTCCTTGGTGGGGGGACTGCCTGTGGGCGACAGTCCGCCCGTGGGGATGTAACTCCGTGGGACTCTGTGGGGCAGTATATGTGGCCACCTGCGTCAACATGGATGAGATTTTCTCGGGCCAGCTGCAGTTTGCGTCGGCGGGGCCTGTGGTCTTTGTGTGTGTGGTGCTGCCTGTGTGTGTCCTATACCCACCTCCCCCTCGACTTCCACAATAACCTCAGGCAAACTCGGGGCTCCTCTGGCCTCAGTTTCCCTTTCTTTTCATCCATCCTCTGGGCAGCCTGGCTCAGCTGTCTCATGGGGGTGCCTGTGTGCCTGTGAGGGGTGGCGGGCAGGGGCCCTCTCTCTGGCGAGCTCTCAGGCAGTTTCTGGGAAGGTGGGGAAGACTGAGTCTCTAGACCAGGGTGAGGTAAGTCTCCATTTCTTGGGGCCCTCCCCCCTTGGAAATGACGCAGGCCTCTAATCCTTCTTTTAGGCCTCTGCTGTTGAGAGGACAATTAAGCTAATGCTCTCCACACACAGAGGCCGCCTCCCTGACTCAGTGGCGGGGGCAGGAGTTGGGGGTTCTGAAGCCTGGAGGAGGGTTGGCCTACTCCCAAGCTGAACCTCCAGCCCCGGAGTGCTGAGCACAGCTGAAGGAGAATTAATTACTGAGTGTGAATGCTGAATAGGTTCCAATAAAAGCTGTCTCGACCTCATATAAATATTTTCATTCTGGGAGGGGCTGGTGAGGTAATCAGAGTCACAAGCAAGGACCCTGGGCCCGCCCCCCAGCCCATCCCCTCTCCTCCCCAAAGCTAGGCAGGCCTGGAGTCTCACCTGTGTCTCTCTCTTCCCAGGTCTTCAAGCCGCTCAGCGTGGTAAGGTCTGGGGATGCGGGGCCTGGGCCTTACTTGGGTCTGGGTTGGAACTGGGGTGAGGTCAGGACAGGGATCTGCTGTCATTGTGACCCAACCCTCTCCACAGCCTGTGGACAGCGTGGCCCCGGTCCCCCCAAGCCTCAGGAGGGCAACACAGTCCCCGGCGAGTGGCCCTGGCAGGCCAGTGTGAGGAGGCAGGGAGCCCACATCTGCAGCGGCTCCCTGGTGGCGGACACCTGGGTCGTCACCGCTGCCCACTGCTTTGAAAAGTAAGTCATGACTGGGGTCAGGCAGGGTCTCTGGCTCTGGAGGATGGATGATTTGTCTCAAGCCCCACAAGGCTAGTCCCTACCTCTAGAGTAATAATAAAGTACCACTTACTGAGAATCTGCCATGTACTGGGTACATATTGTCAAGTGAATTGTAACAACCACCTTTCAACCTTAGGACTAGAGAACTGGCACAGGCATCCACACCGCCGAGCCTAATTAGGGGGCTCTTTCACCCCCTGGGATGGGAACAGCCCCATTAGGGCTGAGAGGCGCAGGCACTTTGGAACTCTACAGGTTTGGAGTATAGGTAGAAGATTTACAAATGAGAAAACAGGTTGCAAGGGAATGACCTTGCTTAAAGTCACAGACGGAGGCCGGGCACAGTAGCTCACGCCTATAATCCCAGCACTTTGGGAGGCCAAGGAGGGAGGATCGCTTGAGCCCAAGAGTTCAAGACTAGCCTGGGCAACATAGCAAGACCATGTCTCTACAAAAAATATAAAACTAGCCAGGCATGGTGGTGCACACCTGTAGTCCCAGCTACTCACAAGGCTGAGGTGGGAGGATCGCTTGAGCCTGGAAGGTCAAGGCTTGCAGTGAGTCGTGGTCATGCCACTGCACTACAGCCTGGGCAACAGGACGAGACCCTACCTCAAAAAGAAAAAGCCGTGGAGTGCTCTCTGCTATCTTCCACCTACCTGTGGGATCTCCCATGGTGTCACTGTCTCCCCTTGTACTCAGCAGCCTGGATCTTGTCCTTCCCCTTCCAGGGCAGCAGAGATAGAACTGAACTCCTGGTCAGTGGTCCTGGGTTCTCTGCAGCGTGAGGGACTCAGCCCTGGGGCCGAAGAGGTGGGGGTGGCTGCCCTGCAGTTGCCCAGGGCCTATAACCACTATAGCCAGGGCTCAGACCTGGCCCTGCTGCGGCTCACCCACCCCGTGACCCACACACCCCTCTGCCTGCCCCAGCCTGCCCATCGCTTCCCCTTTGGAGCCTCCTGCTGGGCCACTGGCTGGGATCAGGACACCGGTGATGGTAAGTGCTGGCCCAGACTGAAGCTCGGAGAGGCACTCTGCTTGCCCAACGTCACCGTCTCAGCTCCCAACTGTCCTGGCTTCCAGTCTCCCTTGCTTCTCAGATCCCAGACTCCAGCCCCAGCCCCGTCTCTTTCATTAGCTCCTGGGACCCTACGGAATCTGCGCCTGCGTCTCATCAGTCGTCCCACATGTAACTGCATCTACAACCAGCTGCACCAGCGACACCTGTCCAACCCGGCCCGGCCTGGGATGCTATGTGGGGGCCCCCAGCCTGGGGTGCAGGGGCCCTGTCAGGTCTGATGGGGAGGAGAGAAGGAGCAGAAGGGGAGAGGCCTAGCCCTGGGCTGGGGGTTGGACTCACAGGACTGGGGGAAAGGGCTGCAATCAGAGGGTATCTGCCATAGCTGGGCTCAGGCATCTGTCCTTGACTTTGTTGCCTGGCTCCAGGGAGATTCCGGGGGCCCTGTGCTGTGCCTCGAGCCCGATGGACACTGGGTTCAGGCTGGCATCATCAGCTTTGCATCAAGCTGTGCCCAGGAGGACGCTCCTGTGCTGCTGACCAATGCAGCTGCTCACAGTTCCTGGTTGCAGGCTCGAGTTCAGGGGGCGGCTTTCCTGGCCCAAAGCCCAGAGACCCCAGAGATGAGTGACGAGGACAGCTGTGTAGGTATGAGCGGGGCATGCTGGCAGTGGGTAGAAGCCACTGTGAAGCAAACCTCAGTTAGGACTAGAGAACTGGCACAGGCATCCACACCGCCGAGCCTAATTAGGGGGCTCTTTCACCCCCTGGGATGGGAACAGCCCCATTAGGGCTGAGAGGCGCAGGCACTTTGGAACTCTACAGGTTTGGAGTTTAGGTGAGAAGAGGAATCTCTGAGACCTGACTTGGGTTTCTGGGGAAGTGGCAAGCTTCCAGCAGGGACCCAGCGAGCCTGCACAGGGTAGGGCTCCCAGTCAGAATTCCGGCATTAAGTGACTGGCATGCAAATTGAATGCAAAATAATTCCTGGGACGGATATTATGTCTTGATGGTAAGAGATGCACTAATGAGCCAGGAATATGGGAGGCAGGCCCAGCCTGGAGGGTGCAGACGGGTGGGGCGGGGGAGTGACGAGTAGGGGCATTCCCACGAGGCTGGGACCGAGGTCCCATCAGACCGACAAGGCTAAAAGCTCAGGCCCTAGCCTGTGAATCCCAAGTCTGCCACTTGCCTGTAGTTACAGAACGAGGAAGTCATTTAACCTCTCTGGAACTTTGGTTACCTTCAGTAATGAGGGGAACAAAATTCAATTTCAAAAGATATTGTGAGAATTTGACGAGAAGCGGGAAACACTTAGCAAGAAGTCAGATGAGGCACTCATCTGTTTCAGCCTGTGGATCCTTGAGGACAGCAGGTCCCCAGGCAGGAGCACCCTCCCCGTGGCCCTGGGATGCCAGACTGATGCACCAGGGGCAGCTGGCCTGTGGCGGAGCCCTGGTGTCAGAGGAGACAGTGCTGACTGCTGCCCACTGCTTCATTGGGTGAGTCTTGGATCCCTCTCCACTGTGCCCCCTGTCCCTGCCGGCAGCCCTGTCACCTGGTGCCGTCCACACTGCCTCTGCATAGGCGCCAGGCCCCAGAGGAATGGAGCGTAGGGCTGGGGACCAGACCGGAGGAGTGGGGCCTGAAGCAGCTCATCCTGCATGGGGCCTACACCCACCCCGAGGGGGGCTACGACGTGGCCCTCCTGCTGCTGGCCCAGCCTGTGACACTGGGCGCCAGCCTGCGGCCCCTCTGCCTGCCCTATGCTGACCACCACCTGCCTGACGGGGAGCGCGGCTGGGTCCTGGGACGGGCCCGCCCAGGAGCAGGTAGGTGGGCATGGGGCCAGGGCCACTGTCCATCCAGCCTGCAGGCCGGAGCAGCCAGCTTTCCCTTGCTCCACAGGCATCAGCTCCCCCCAGACAGTGCCTGTGACCCTGCTGGGGCCTAGGGCCTGCAGCCGGCTGCATACAGCTCCTGGGGGTGACGGCAGCACTATCCTGCCGGGGATGGTGTGTACCAGTGCTGTGGGTGAGCTGCCCAGCTGTGAGGTGAGCCCCAGGCCCCCACGCCTTACCTAATAGGCCCCTGGCATCCCCTCACCCAATAGCTCAAGAACGGACCTTCTAGGCTTGGCCTCTGGACCCACCTCCCACCTGAAACTAGGCCTTTTTGCCAGTTAGCTCACAAACAGCCAGAGCCTCCATAGCCTACTCTGCCATTCTGCACAGCTGCCTGTAAAGTCACCCAGTGTCACCTGACCCCTGACAGGGCCTGTCTGGGGCACCACTGGTGCATGAGGTGAGGGGCACGTGGTTCCTGGCTGGGCTGCACAGCTTCGGAGATGCTTGCCAAGGCCCCGCCAGGCCGGCGGTCTTCACTGCGCTCCCTGCCTACGAGGACTGGGTCAGCAGTTTGGACTGGCAAGTCTACTTCACCGAGGAGCCAGAGCCCGAGGCCGAGCCTGGAAGCTGCCTGGCCAACATGAGTATGTAGCCCTGGGACCTCCTGCCAAACTCTGCCTCTCCAGGACCCTTCTCTCTCCAGTGAGGGGGTGCATCGTTCTAACCCACTCCAGCTGCCCTGGGTAGTGTGGAGCAATAGGCAGACCCATTTGATTCAGATTCTGGTTCTTTGTCATCGCGTCACTTGGAGCAGGCTGCTCAATCGCTTTGAGCCTCAGTATTCTCATCTGTCATGGCAGCCAAGACAGACCCTGTTCCTCTGAGGAATGGGAGAGAGAGAGGGAGGGACCAAAGCCATGAGGGTGAGGACAACTCCACACTCCTTCCTTCCTCACAGGCCAACCAGCCAGCTGCTGACAGGGGACCTGGCCGTTCTCAGGACAAGAGAATGCAGACAGGCAAACAGCATTACTGCCCCTGCCCTCCCCACCTTGCCATGTGTGATTCCAGGCACCAGGGCAGGCCCAGAAGCCCAGCAGCTGTAGGAAGGAACCTTTCTGGGGCCACAGGTGCCCACTCCCCACCCTGCAGGACAGCGGTGTCTGTGGACACTCCCACACCCAGCTCTGCTCCCACACAGGCATCCCAGCTTTCCTCCTCCTTTACCCTTTCAGATACAATCACGCCAGCCATGTGTTTTGAAAATTTCTTTTTTTGGGGGGCAGCAGTTTTCCTTTTTTTAAACTTAAATAAATTGTTACAAAATAGACTTTAGAAAATAAGTTACAAATTGTAGCAAAAGGCTCCCTTCCACAGGCAACTTTCCCACCTGTGAGGCTCTGCATCCAACTCTCCCTGGTGTTACAATCTGGCTGCTGAGGGTGGCACGGCATCTCGGCAGAGGCTGGTGCTGGGAAGAGCATGGTGACGAGCCTGGTGGAAGGAGGTCCTTCAAGGACAGGGACACGAGGAACACCCCACACCCTCCTTGGGAAAGAAGCCAGATCTGGGTCCTCTTCACAAGGGGAGAGGAGAAGATATGGGGATGCCTGAACTACTCCTGAGAAAACGTGGAGATCAAGCCCCTCCCTGCACGCACTCCCTCCCCCAGATTCTGATCTTTGGAGACTTGAAGTTCAGAGGGAGAAGCTGAGGTCTGCAGGCCACTGGGGTGAAGGATCCAGGAGTGGGGTCGTGGGGGTGGGTGGAGGGGGCAATGACAAGTCTCCTCTGCCCGTCGCTGGTGCCACTGGGGCTCCTGGGGAGAGAGAGAGGAGGTCACCGACTGAGGGGCAGACCCCGCACAGCGTGTACCCTGTCCCAGCCCTGCAGGCCATTCCCCCGCCCCTGGCCCCAGAGGCCCAGATGAGAACAGGAATTCTAGGCCTCCTAATTATTTTCCCAGTCCTTGCAAACTGGCTCCTCGATCATATCCCTTGAGGTCATGAGAAATCTTTTATCCTTAAAGCCATTCCTTCAGCTGTCAGGTGACTCCCACCCGCCCTCTGCTCTGACAAGACCCATCAAGGGCCCACCATCTCAGGGCCACCCACCCTCGAGGGCCACTAGATGGAATGGGCCCACCTCTACTAGAGGAGGTGGAGAGGCCAGCCCAGGTCCTGCTGAGGGAACCGGCCGCCCCACTCCCCGGCAGCCACAGCCTCCAGCAGTGCTGGGTGGAGGCGATTGCCCACAGAGATGCCCTCTGATCAGGGATGTGACACGGGATAATGACTGTTGTTGCTGCAACTGGGTCTGGACTTCAAGGAAACAATTATCTGTGACTCAGTCCTCCAGTTAAAGGTGTGCAGAGGGTGGCGGGGTGTGCAGGTGGAAAGAGTGGTTTGGCTGGATCCTAAAAAGGCCATTGGCGGCAGAGGGAGAAGGGGCTGAATTAAGTTTAGAGAAGAGACGGGAGCAACACTGACAGGGAAGGACCAGAGGTCTAGTTCACAAGGAGAGGGGCAGCAGAGACAAGGCGCAGGGAAAGAGGGACAGGGAGTAGGGTGCCAACCAGTGACCCGGTTTCCATGGCCAAGTCAGCAGGCGAGCTGTGGAGCCCATGCCCCATCCCTTGTTCCCTGGCACCCGGCCTGCTCTAGGGAAGAATGGAACCTAGACCAAACCAATGGCGTCCTCTATTCCTCTGGAAGTCATTGCATTACTGGCTGACTCAGGAGCATTTCCAGACACAGCAGCCAGGGAGTACCCAGCGACCTTCCCCCGAACAGAAAGACCATTCCACTCTGGCTACAGTGTAATGGAGGAGCCCAGGCAGCAGCCTCAGCCTGACCATGCCCCCACCTTGACCACGCCCCCATGTGCTGCCCAACCCACCCTGCTATTTGTTATACCTGATCTGGGGGTGCTCAGCTAGTTTTCTCACCCCATAGCCAAGCCCCCACCCACCTCTTAAAATCCCCGGGACTCTCTCCTCTCACTCCTTGCTCCCCCACGCACTTTGGGGCCAGGCTTCACCCTCCCCCGTGTGCCCACCTCCTCCTGGGACCCTTCATGCCCCCGTACCAGAGTTGGCCACTGTCCACTCCTCCTGGTGCTGCTGCTGGTGCTGCACAAAGCTGATTCGGCGGCGGAAGTGGCGGGGACAATGGGGACAGGTGAAAGGCCCCTCCCGAGGTGCGTGGACCCGCCCGTGACCCTCCAGCCGGGCAGCTGTTCGGAAGGCCTTGCCACAGATGCTGCAGCAGTGGCGCTTGGGGTCCGTGTGGATCCTGCTGTGGTTCTTAAGAGACAGCAGGTTAGGGAGAAGTTTGGGACAGAGGGAGCAGGGGTACAACCCTGTGGTGTGGGCCTTCTGGTGGTTCAGCAGGCTGCCAGCGTGGCGGTAGGAGCGCCCGCACTGGGCGCAGCGGAAGGGCCGCTCCTTGTCCTCAGCTGCCATGGACGTCACCACTTGTCCTCCCCTGGCTCTCTCCACACTCTCTCCTGGGCTTCCGGGGGTTTCTGATGGGGCCTCCCGGGCTTTCCCTTGACCAGGGAGAACCACCTCATCCTCCCCAGTTCTGGCTTTGGGATCTCTGGCCTCCTCCATCTGGGCTGGCACCTGGCTGTGGCCCAGGGCATGAGCCTGCAGGTGGCTGGCCAGTTCCTGGTGGGACTCAAAGGCCTTGCCACAGTCAGGACAGGTAAAGGTCTGGGCATCTATGTGGTTGTGGCTGTGGCTCTTTGTGGCCACAGGATTCAGGAACTCCTTGGAGCAGAGCAGGCAATAGTGTCGGTCTGTCTTGTGGGTGTTGTGGTTCAAGAGGCTGCCCGATTGGCAGTAAGTCTTGCCGCACTGGCTGCAAGAGGAGGAGTGGCTCCCTGGCTGCAGCTGAGAGCTATCGTCTCTGTTGTCCCAGCTATCCATGTGACTCAGAGTAGGTCCATTGAGCTGGCAGTCACCAGCATGGCAAGGACTCCTGTGGACACTGTCCTCTGGCTCCTCTGACCTGGTCAGGAACTGAGGAACCCAGCCTCCACTGTGATTCCCCAGTCCCCCACCTACTGGCCACCCACCTGCCTTCCCTGCGTCCCAGGACAGTGGCTCTGGGGCTTCTGAGCTTGCTGCCCTGATGGGGCTCTGACTGCGCTCCCCTGGTCTCGGGACTCCATCCTCCAGCTGGGGTACTGGCTCAGCACCACCCAATTGGGCCTCTAGTCCCTGGCTACCAGCCAGGTTCGCCTCACTGGCTGCTGTGCCATCCAGGCCTCCCTGGCCATTGGCTGGCTCCCTTTCTGTCTCCTCCTCATGCTCCCGCAGGTGCCGTTCCAAAGATCCCCGGCCAGGGAAGCCGCGGCCACAGAGGGCGCAACGCACAGCTGAGCGCCTGGACCGTCCAGCCCGCCGCCGCCGATTCTCCGAGTGCAGCCTCTGGTGGTCCTTCAGGGCCATGCGGTTGGAGTAGGTCTTGGGGCAGGTGGGGCAGCTGTACTGGCCCGTCTCGTGGCTGCGCCGGTGGTTCAGGAGGCTGCCAGCATGGCGATAGGTCCGCCCGCACTGCCCACAGCGGAAGGGCCGATCTTCCCGAGTCGGCTTTCGGGTGCCCCCACCCCCACGTCGCTCCATGTGGACCCGCTGGTGGCTGGCCAGCTGTTTCCGCAGGCGGAAGGCCTTCCCACACTCACTGCAGCGGAAACGTCGGGGATCTGCATGGATGCGCCGGTGGTTCTTGAGGGACATGAGGTTTGAGAAGCCCTTGGAGCAGGCCTGACAGCCGAAGTGGCCGGTCTGGTGGCTCTGCCGGTGGTTGATGAGGCTGCCGGCATGCTTGTAGGATCGGCCACACACCTCACAGCTGAAGGGCCGCTCAGAGCTGGCTTCAGTCTGGCAGCCCTTCTCGGCAGTCTCCAGCCTGGGCTCTATCTCCTCCCCTTTCACAGTGGTCTCCTCCCACACCTCTTCTTTCACCCTGGCCACTTCCTCCAGGGGCTCCACTTTAAGTTTTTCCTGGAGCTTCTCGACTTCTGCCTGCCCCAGTCCCTCGTCTGCCATGTGCTGGGGCTTGCTGCTGCCTCCTTCTGGGGTGGGCCCAACCTGCAGCTCACTGCTACCTCCTGCCTCTGGGATGGGCCCAACCTGCGGCTCAGAGCCTTTGCAGCGAGGGTGGTTCCGCAGATGATTACGGTAGGCAGCCAGGTTGGGGTAGCAGCGGGAGCAGACAGGGCAGAGAAAGTCTCCAGTCTGGTGGATCTTGCGGTGGTTCACCAGGCTGCCCCCATGGCGATAGGTCTTGCCACACTGGTTGCAGCGGAAGGGGCGGGGCTGAGCCTCCAGCAAACTTTCCCCACCCTGCGTGCAGAGGCCGTCTCCCAAGGGGGTGCCTGCTCCCTCTTGAGACTTGGCATCTCCACCCTCTCCAGAGACAGAAGTCACTATGTCCTCCAAGACACTGCCCACAACCATCTCCGTGGCATCACCTGCCACTCCCAAGGGGCTGGGAGCCTTGTCTGCAGCAGTCCCAGAACTTTGACTTTGGTGGTGGCGCTCCAGGCTCCCCAGGTCATCGTAGGTCTGCCCGCAGCAGCCACAGATGTGCCCATACCCTGCACTGTCCAGTGCTTCCACCTCCCGCTGCAGCTGATTCAGCAGCTCTGCTTCCGAGAGCTGCAGTGGCGGGCTGCGTGCAGGGGCTGCCTCTGCCGCTCCTTCCTCTTCCCCCTCCTCCTCTGAGCCCTCAGTCATGCCAGAGGAGCTGTGGGCCTGGCGCCGGTGAAGCCTGTAGCCAGCCCGCCCGGGGAAGATCATGCCGCAGAGGCAGCAGAGGAAAGGCTGTGCTGAGGTCGCCTCCCCGGGCCTATGGTTCTGGAAGTGGCTGCGGAGGGCAGGCAGAGAGTCAAACTCCTTCGGGCAGAGGGAGCACTGATAGATGCCTGGTGGGTGGCAGGGCCTGTGGCTCAGCAGGCCAGTGGCATGGGGGAAAGAATGCCCACAGTCAGAGCATGTGTGAGTGGCCCCAGCCTGCCAGCCAGTGACAGTGTTGGCAGAGTGGGAAGAGGAGTTGGGTTGGCCAGTGGCTGGCTTCTGGTCTTCATCCACGCCAGTGAGGCCATCGCAGAAGCGAGTCCCACCACCTTCCTCACCTCCTGGGATGTCCAAATTGTCAAGTAAACTGGCATTCTTCCTTTCCAGTCCTTCCCCAGGGCCTCCACTCTCTTTATCACCCTGGAAATGGGTCTCATCCCTCTCAAGCCCACATTTGTCCCCTTCAGATTCAGCCTGCAAACAGCCCCCATCACTTTCCAGGTTGCCTTCCGCCCCGTGAGGACTTTCCCCTGAAGGGTCTTGGGGAGAGTCCAGGCCTTCATTGTCTTCTAGCTCCCGGGTCCAGCTCCCTGCTGCCAGGAGTTTGGCTTCTCCCCCACCACTGGCACCACCAGCCCGCTTCCGATGCCGCCTGCTCCGCCGCCGACTGTGCCGGCGCAAGTGGTTCTTCATGGCAGCCATGGTGTGGAAGTGCTTGGCACAGGCCCCACAACTGAAGTCTCCTGTCTGGTGGGTCTGCCTGTGGTTGATAAGGCTGCCGGAGTGGCGATAGCTCTTTCCACAGTCTCGGCAGGCGAAGGCCCGAGGAGGTGACACTGTGGTCTCTGTCCTGCTATTTTCCTTTTCCCCTGCCCCATGAGTCAGGCCATGACGTTCAAGGCTCTCAGGGTCTTCAAAGAGCAGCCCACAGATGCTACAGGTATGTGCTGCTGTCCTGTCTGCTGCTGGCGTGATGTCTGTGGCCTCTTCTTCATGTTTGCACACGTGGTCCTGATCTGTGTGCGGGGCTGCCTCTGCCTCTACTGGGTCAGGCGGGAGTTCTACCTTGAGGTGGTTGGGGGCACCCTCGGCCCCGATGTCTGCACTTCGGCGAGCAGCCTTGCAATGTACCCGCACGTGGTTGCGCAGGGCCATGAGATTGGGGTACTTGCGGGGACACAGCGAGCACTGGTACTCTCCAGTCCGATGGCTGTGGCGATGGTTCACCAGGCTCCCCCGGTGGCGGTAAGCACGACCACACTCACTGCACTTATAGGGCCGATGGTCCAGGGTGGTGGGGGGGTCCTCTTCCTCTTTGTGGGTGGTCTCAGTCAGCAGCAGGCGAGCTGGTGGCACTGATGGCTGCCCATTTTCCCCAACTCCTTGCCTGGGCCTGTGATGAGCCCGCACATGATTTTTGAGAGCAGCCGCATTGAACAGCTGCTTAGAACAGAGTGAGCAGGGGTAGACACCTGTCTGGTGGCTCTTTCGATGGTTGATGAGGCTCCCGGCATGGCGGTAAGTACGGCCACAGTCCCCACAGCGGAAAGGCCGGTATTCCTCCAGGCCACTGTCCTCCAGCTCCCCAGAGGTGCTAAGCTCTGCACAGCCATTCAGCATCTGTGCACTGGGGAGCTGGTCCCGGCTGCTCTCGTCTGTGTGCCCATTGGTGGTGGACATCCCTTTCTCCTCCCAGGGTGGCTCCTGCCTTTCACCCTCATGGGACTGCTGGTGTTCCAGCAGCTCCCGGGGGAGCCGGAAGGCACGGGGGCAGTGGGGACAGTGGTAAGGCCGATACTGGGCATGCAGTCGAGAGTGGTTCTTCAGAGCCATGAGGTTAGAGAACTCCTTGAAGCAGATGGCACAGGGGTAGATGCCCAGCGTGTGGCTCTGGCGGTGGTTAGTGAGGCTCCCGGCGTGCTTGTAGGTCTTGCCACACTGACTACATTTGTACCGCCGCTCCTCCTCGGCAGGAGGGGACTGGGTGGGCTCGTGGCCCGCTGTGAAGTTCACTACTGATTCAGCCAGATACTGTTCCAAGTTGCTAAGAAGGCTGCTGGCTGGGGTGGGGAGAGGAGGGGCTCTGGCAGAGTTGGTGGAGGGTCCCCAGCCGTCTGCAGCATCCTCAGAACCTGGTTGGCTTGCCAAGCCTTCTCTTTGTCTGGTGGGCAGATCTTCCCACGTACCCGAAGCTGCCCTGGAGTCCGGTACAGATTCACAGTCAGGTGTCTCTTCCGTATGTTTTGTCTGGTTTTCCCAGCCTTCACCAGAGCTAAGCCTTTGGCCCCAGGAGTCAGTGGACACCGTCTCACCCTGGAGGCGTGGAGTGGCTTCCTTGGGGCGTGGGGGCCTGTGCCTGCGGCGGCCCTCAGGAGCATGAGTCCTCATGTGGCTCTTGAGAGCCATGGGATTGGAGAAGTCCTTTCCACAGGTGGTACAGGGGAAAAGGCCAGTCTCGTGGGTCCGACGATGGTTGACCAGGCTCCCAGGGTGACGGTAGCCCCGCCCACACTGCTGACAACGGTAGGGCCGAGGGATGCTGTCAGCCTCCTCACTGTCCTTGTTGGAAGATGGATGGAGCAGTTCTCGGTGCCGAGACAGCTCTGGGAGGCTGGGAAAGTGGCGCTGACAGTCAGAACAGCTGAGTGAGGGGGGTGCGTCCTCCATGGGGCAATGTAGCAGAAACCTGGAGGTTCAGAAGGAGCAGACACGTGGCAGCACCTTCCTCTGGTGGAGGGGCCGAGGCCTAGGAAGAGGGGGCAGTGGTCAAAAGGAAGGCCTGAATTAACTTCGCCTCTTGGCTATACGAGCAACAAGTTCATCTGAGGTCACTGAGAGTTTCCCCAAGCATCTGTGCCCAGGGACCTGCTTTCTACTAGATCTAATCTGCAGGCACCATCATTTAAGGCCTCCCTGTGCACAAGCTCCCCAAATATAGGAGCTCCCCTAGGCTTAAGTCATTCCTACAGGTATAGCTAAGGAAATTAAAGTCGAGAGAGATGCAGCCTACTTCTGATCACAGACCTGTAATCATGTTCTTCAGACCAGACTCAAAAGGCATTACTGTCCTTTAAGGACAGTAGGACTCTGCTCCCTACAATCCTGAAACAAAAATTTTCTGTGACATCTTAAAAGGACACCAGAACCTTTTCTAGGCCTTTCAATAAGAGAAGTCCAAACCTTCCTCCTTCATCTCTCAGCTAAACAGAGTAGCTGAGAAGCACTGAAAAAGCAGCTGTTTCCTCCAGCTAATAGCTGAGGACCTGAGAGGACAGGTTAGAGGCCTCCTTCAGGGAAAGGGCTGGCTTGTTCCCCTGCTTCCCTGAGTCCTTTCAGTGTCACAAGGTCTCTTTTCCTTGTGACAAGAGAGTTAAGAGAGTTAGGACTTTCTTAACTGGGCCAGGCATGGTGGCTCACGCCTGTAATCCCAGCACTTTGGGAGGGTAAGGCTGGCATATCACCTGAGTTCAGGAGTTCAAGACTAGCCTGGCCAACACGGTGAAACCCTGTCTCTACTAAAAATACAAAAGTTAGCCGGGCGTGGTGGCAGGTGCCTGTAATTCTAGCTACTCGGGAGGTTGAAGCTGAAGAACTGCTTGAACCTGTGAGGTGGAGGTTGCAGTGAGCTGAGATCCCACCACGGCACTCCAGCCTGGGTGACAGAGCGAGACACCATCTCAAAAAACAAACAAAATCCCCAAAAGTCTCTCTTAGCGACTTCCTTTATCTACTTCCCTTGAACCCAAACTATCTTCCATCTTGTGAATAACATCAATATCAGGTTGTAATGTCACTTCATCACCTACCTTTTCTCTCCCATGCCTCCTGATCTTACCTTCACCAGCCCTTCTCATTTTTTTCTTCTGCCTCCTCTCTTAATACTGATGATGACAGCAACTCATGAAGAGTATTATATTACCATGTGCCGGGCACTGTGCTAACTATATTCATTGTGTCACTCAATCTTCAGAACACACGGCAATGCCTGTTATCCTAGTTCACGTAAGAGTAAACCCACTAACTGAGGCGGTCTTCATCCCAAAGCCCTTGCTCGCTCATGCCTCGTACATCCTCTCGTCCTTCTCCAACTCTTCTTCCCATGGGAGGGACCCCAATACAACTGTCTCCCACCGTAAACGCCTTCACTGAACCTGCCCCCGGAATTCTCACCTCACAAAGCCCCTTTGATCAAAAGTCCCCTCCCCTAGTCAACCACCAATGAGTCCTCTGACCTCACTCATCTCCTCTGCCAATTTCCTTTCAGGACGCCTACCTCGCACCGGCGGCCCCCTCTCCTTCCCGCCGCGGGCGCGTCAGTTGGGGACCGCGAACGGGAGCGCGCCTGCGCACTGGGACCCTTACCCTAACTGCAGCCGCGCGCCCCAAGGGGTGGCTGTCGGGGGGCTCTCGCGCTCCCACACACGCACACTCAGCCAGGGTTCCCAGGAGGTGGGAGGGGAGGGAAAGAGGGAAAGGAGAAGGGGGGGAAAGGAAGGAGGTAGAGAAAAGAGGGCGCAGCTGGCATGAACCAGGAGTCTACCCCCAGCTCTGCGGACACTTCCTATTGTTACTAGGAAACAGGAAGTGTCCTTAGGTGCAAAAGCTTCCCCGCGAAACTTCCGCTTTGGGAGCCCTGCCTGTCCCGCCTCCAAGCCTCCGTTTTACGCAGACACACTTCCGGCGCTAGGTTCTGGCTCTGCACTACTGACTCCGCCCACGGAGGTCACAACGAGGCGTCTTTGAGCGTTACGCTAGCCACACTTCCGGCAAGAGCAGCTAGAATCGTTCCAGTGCATATTGAATAGGCGCAGAAGAGAGAGAAAAAGATTCTGCAACCCTGGCCACAGTACTTTGGTGACACTTTTCGTGGGGCTCCCTGGAAGACTTTTCCTAAGGCAGATGGAGAAAACTTCGTGAAATCCACTCGTTGCTATTAAAGGAAATGTTGTGGAATATAAGCGGACTTAGGTTCTGCAGAGCTTGAGCATGGCCTTTTTGTCCTCCCACCTTCTGGTTCTTGAAGACATTGCCGGTGACCTGGCCCCAGACTAACACGAGGCCGGCGTATACTGTCAGCCTGCCCTGCGTCCCCTTGCCTCAGCACCCACAGAGCCCTCTTGCAAGATGCTTCTCTGCCGCCATAGGCTGGAGGTTCCCCGGGAACTTTCCCTTCCTTCCTAGCTGAGGAAGGTCCCTCACTTCCGCTCGCCGGGCCACCGGTCCCGCCTCCCCGCCCCCCGCTGGGTCCTAGCGCCGGCCCCTCTTTGGCAGGATCCGGGCTCCGTCAGTGCGAGGAGCCGACGCCGACAGCACTGGGTCAGCCCAAGTCTCATCAGGTAGGAAACGCCGGCGGGAAGCCGCGAGGGCCCCGGGCAGACCCCACGCGGCCGCAATCCGAGCTGGCCTCAGTTTCCCTGCGGCCGCCGAGGGCGGACTGGGTTGGTCCAGCGAGCAGCGCGGGCGGGGCGGGCGGTGAGCGGCCCTGGGCGCATTGCGGGCCCAGCAGGTCCTAGAACCCGCCGACTGTCTCCGCGGTTCTGGGCTGCGGACGCACACCCAGGCTCGGCCCGCGCGGCTGCCGTTCCGGCTCGGTGCGGGCCCGGGGGTCCTAGAGCCCGCCATGTTGCGGGCTTTTGTCCCGGCCGCGCGGCCCGCGCTGCAAGGTCCCCGGCGCCGGCGGCCCCCTCCCCGGCCGAGGCCGGGCCACCACTCTCGCGGTCCTAGAGAACGCCATCTTGCAAGCCTTTGTCCCGCATTCGGCCCTCCGTCCATTCATTTGTTCATCCCCGCATCCTTCGTTCAGTCCTGGTTGCTACGTCCCCCGAGGCCACGTTTTCCGAGGCTCAAAACGACACAAGTCAATCCAGGGTCCTGCCCTCCAGGGACTGCCTGGCTGGCGGGGGCGCAGCGTACAGACGGTTGCGAGGAGCGAGGAGCGAGGAGCTCCGGGTTTCTGCAACTCTCGGCTCCTCGGCGCGCTTCGTAGGCCCCACCGCCCTTCAAACTCCCACAAACTTCAGGGACCCCATTTTAGTGATGAGGAAACTGAGGCCCAGAGCGGCGTGGGGCCCTTACCTCTCTACTGCCATTAAGTATTCCTGAGGGCACTGGGGAAGGGGGTTCTTGAAGAATGTAAAGGGGCTTCCCCGTTGGGGAAGGCAGGCAAGGGCTCCCGAGCCCAGGAAACTGCATCTAGAGGCGGAGGGTTGAGAATTGTGGCTGGAGGTTCGGTCGCTGCCGGGAGGAGGACTCTGTCGCTGGAGCTGAGGCAAAAGTAGGTTGGGATCAGGTTGTGAACTGGCCGGGTTGGCGGCCTAGGAGATGATTAACGCTCATTTCTGCAGGGTTCATCTGCTCACTAGATCACTCCTGGCCGTGAGGCCTGTGTGGTGACTGCTTGTTTAGAGATGGGAAGATTGAGGTGCCTCCTTTTTCTCCTCATCCCTGCCCCAGAGTCCTAGCCTAGGATTTTTGGAAATTGAATCTCTGCTTGCCTAGTGAGACAATAGAACTTCATCCGGTTCCTAAGCCAGTAGTGAGGCAAAGCAAGGCTTCATCGCCACCACAGGGAGTCCACTGTGGGATATTGGGGCAATAGTTGGGCCTTGTGGACTTGGAAAGGTGGAAGAATTCAGTTAATAAACAGTTATTGGTGGACATTCTCACAAACTCCTACTGTGCCGGAGGCAGAGGCTACAGACCTGGGTTCAAATTTCATCTGAGGTTGATTCCTTCCATTTGTTTTGGGTCACCACACAGGGTTCTGGATGTAGACGATGCAGATGATCGGTTTCCTAGCTCTTTGCCAGCCTGGACTCTGGTGCTGGAGATGGAGAATTAACAGCCAAACCATAAGATGTGTAATGCTAGCAAAGCAATAGTCAGGGCTCAGAGAGCAGGTGTCTGGGATTTGAACACTGGCTGGGACGGTGACTAGTTAGCTTGTTTCTTTGTGGTGTCACTTCTCATAAGAACACTAATCCTGTTGGACCAGGGTCATACCCTTATGACGTCATTCAACCTTAATTACTTCCATAAAGGCCTTATCTCCAAATACAGTCACAATGAGAGTTAGAATTTGAATATATGAACAGACAGGGAACACAAACATTCACTCATAACGAACTTCTAGGCAGCTGTGGAATTGGCTTGAGTAGTTGAGTATTACGCACAAAATGCTTAGAATGATACCTTGCCCATGGTAAGCTTGCAAGGAGTATTGTCCAGATGATACCATAAAGGAAATTAGAGAGGAGGGGGCTGGTCGCTGTGGCTCATGCCTGTAATCATAGCACTTTAGGAAGCCGAAGTGGAGGAGCACCTGAAGCCAGGAGTTCTCGAGACCAGTGTGGGCAGCATAGTGAGACCTCTATGTCTACATACAAAGAATTTTTAATAAATTAGCCAGGTGTGGTGGTGGGTGCCTGTAGTCCTAGCTACTCAGGAGGATTGCTTGAGTGCAGGAGTTCCAGGCTGAAGTGAGCTATGATTGAGCCACTGCACTCCAGGGTGACAGAGTGAGACCTGATCTCTAAATAAAAATAAAGACCAGACACGGTGTCTCACGCCTGTAATCCCAGCACTTTGGGAGGCCGAGGCGGTCGGATCACTTGAGGCCAGGAGTTCGAGACCAGCCTGGCCAACATGGTGAAACCCTGTCTCTACTAAAAATACACAAGTTTGCCAGGTGTGATGGCTTTCGCCTGTAATCCCAGCTACTCGGGTGGCTGAGGCTGGAGAATCACTTGAACCCAGGAGGTGGAGGTTGCAGTGAGCTGAGATCCAGCCACTGCATTCCAGCCTAGGCAACAAAGACTTTCTCTCAAAGAAAATAAATAAATTAAAATAAATAGGCGGGGCATGGTGGCTCAAACCTGTAATCCCATCTCTTTGGGAGGCCAAGGCGGGTGAATCACCTGGGGTCAGGAGTTCCAGACCAGCCTGGCCAACATGGCGAAACCCCATCTCTACTAAAAATACAAAAAATTAGGTGACCTTGGTGGCGGGCACCTGTAATCCCAAATACTTGGAAGACTGAGGCAGGAGAATTGCTTGAACCCGGGAGGCAGAGATTGCAGTGAGCCAACATTGTGCCATTGCACTTCAGCCTGGGCAACAGAGTGAGACTCTGTCTCAAAAAATAATAATAATAAATAATAAAATAAAATAAATAAAAATAAACCAGGTACGGTGACTCATGCCTGTAATCCCAGCACTCTGGGAAGCCAAGGCCGTGGATCAGTGGAGGTCAGGAGTTCGAGACCAGCCTGGCCAACATGGTGAAACCCCATCTCTACTAAAAATACAAAAAATTAGCTGGGCATGGTTGTGGACACCTGTAATTCCAGCTACTCGGGAGGCTGAGGCAGGAGAATCTTGTGAACCAGGGAGGCAGAGGTTGCAGTGAGCAGAGATCGTGCCATTGCACTCCAGCCTCGGCAACAAGAGCGAAACTCTGTCTCAAAAATAAATAAATAAATAAAAATATCAATTTTTAAAAAGGAAAGAGGGGCGGGCGTGGTGGCTCATGCCTGTAATCCCAGCACTTTGAGAGGCCAAGGTGGGTGGATCACTTGAGGTCAGGAGTTCAAGACCAGCCTGGCCAACATGGTGAAATCCTGTCTCTACTAAAAATACAAAAATGAGCCAGATGTAGTGGCAGGTGCCTATAAATCCCAGCTCCTCAGGAGGCTGAGGCAGGAGAATTGTTTGAACCCAGGAGGCAGAGGTCGCAGTGAGCAGATATTGCACCACTGCACTCAAACCTGGGTGACAGAGTGAGACTCCATCTCAAAAAAA